TCAAGTTTAAAATATTCTTTCAATTCATGTTTGTAATACTATGATCTCCATCAACCGCAAAAGCGTAACAATTACTCTTAGATTATGAATGAATAATTGCTTTATTTACACATTAAGATGTACATTAATTTTACATTGCGTTAAAGCTATTATTAATTTCACTAATTTCGTAGTCCGCTTGACCAATTAATAGCTTATAATTAATTAAGGTTTTTAGTTGAGATAAAAAAGGGAATGGCACGAACGGGATTCGAACCCACGATCTTCGGCTTGATACGCCGCTGCTCTACCACTTGAGCTATCGTGACCTCGATCCACTCGGACACCAACTTCCCATCTCAACCGCACCTTTTGAATTTTCTCTCCTTTTTTGCCATTTTTCAAACGTCGTGTAATCGGATTGGATTCTCGACGACAAATGAGACAAAATTCAAAATGTGCGGTCGAGATGAGAAGTTGGTGTCCGAGTGGATCGAGGTCACGATAGCTCAAGTGGTAGAGCAGCGGCGTATCAAGCCGAAGATCGTGTGTTCGAATCCCGCTCGTGCCAGTAATTTTTTCAACTCAATTAAGACCTTACATAAAAAGAATAGTTAATTGAAATAAGGACTTGGTCAATTGTTATTGGAATAGTTAATTGGATTGTAATAACGTTGAAATTGGATAAAACCGAGAGGAGATATGAATTTTTAATGGACGTCGGACATCGGGGAAAAGTTAATTGCCTACGTTTAATCTGGTTCAAAAAGTCCGTTTTTTATTTCTATAAAAATTCGGATTTAATGGTTTTAAAATGAACTTTATAGGAATACAAATTATTGTTATGATTATTATTTAATAGAAAGATTTTTTCTGCCGACTTTCCTGGAAGCGTTTTAAGTTTTTGCCACTTTTTATATAACTAATCTTATTTATTACAATTTCGTGTTATGTTCCGACCTAATGTCACCAAAAAGTTTCATTAACATCGGTGATCCCATGTCTCTGGCCTCCCTTTTCTTAGTAAGTATTAATAATCTTATTAAATAAAAAAATCGTACTTCTTTGCGTTATGAAGTCACTGAAGTCACCATAGTTCAAATGGTTAGAGCAGCGGCGTATTGAGCCGAATGTCGTGGGTTCGAATCCCGCTCGTGACGCTAACTTTTTCATCTCAATCAAGACCTTACATAAAAAGAATAATTAAAATTGTTACGATATTATAATTTTTTAAAATTTAATTTATTAACCTATACACTCTCTCACAGACTATTTCTTAAAATCGGGTGGGGGGTATGAAGAATCTTAAGGATAAACCTACTTCGAAATAATTAAATCTTAGGGCGGTAGAAGATGATGAAAGAACAGAAAATCGTATGTAAGAGTTAATAGACTTTATAGTATATTTTTGCTACAATTATCCTATAAAATTCGATCTATACTTCCAGAAATGTTTTTTATACTTTTATTCTTGGTACAAGTTCGTGTGAATGTAATCGTTAATATTCTTCTTGAACGTGTATACAATGGTTTTTTTCGTTAATATTGATTAATATTAATTAGTATAATATTGATTTCGTTAATATATAATCAAGAAAACTGGAGTTCTACAGACTTTCTGTAAACAACGTAATAGTACAGTCATATATTCAAATTTGATCGCGCAGTACAAACACAGCTATGATCTTCATCAATGTTGGATTTTTTTTGTCATATCATTTGTTTCATGCACTTTGTTGACTAGAGCACTATCAGAAAGATAGACTAGACGTAAGCAAATATTTGAACGCTACAAGGAAAAAGCAGAAAGTCTGATAATATTTTTTTATAACGCATAATGTAGAATTCCAGACATAATTTAGCCATTGCGGCAGATTTTACTCTCCCTTTCATTGAACCTCAAACTGAAATTATAAATCGTTTTTATACACTTAAAACCCAATATAATTAAGTTAACAATAATTATAAGTTAATATAAATCCAATGTGGTTCAGGGTCTTTTTTTGTAAAACGTTTACTTGGTAATTTGATAATAACTTGAAGTTAAAGCTCAATTCTGCTGTCTATTTGCTTATTTTCCAGGCTACTTCAGAGTGTTTGTTTATCTAAAAGCCGTTGTACGACAAAATTCTTAGGAGATTTCTCTAAAAGACTTAAATAACAGGTTTATTCGGCTTTCTATATGCAAGAACATGTAAGTTCAAAGATCTTGTAATAAACCTCCATCGCTAACTTCCGTGGTTGGTCTAAAATTTCTACTAAAACATTTCTGTAATTTTTATTTATTCGTTTAAACGTACTATTACAATTGTAATCAAATGGCAAAATGCAGACAGACATTATTCACTGAAGACGAGGGAAATTCCGAAATTTCTTTGACGACTCTGAAACTAGGGAACTAGCATAGATTAGACTAAAATTTACCTAACAATTTATTCTATCATCAAATAATTCTCCGATATTTTGGTGAATTTCTTTCAAACCATCATAATTAAATATTTTATATTAAAACTCGTGAATTTCTGATCTCGTTTAATTTGATTTACAATAAAATAAGTACGTTTCAATTAATATAATTTATAAAACATGGTATACAAAAATTCATATAGTTAGTTTGATATAATAAACAACAAAATACGAGTGATCGATTTTTTGTCTTTCAGTACATAAACATAAAAAAGGACCTAAAATTGACCTCTGAGAATATGTGCTTCTTACCTTTGCGGTTTCCCTTTTTATGCTAGGTTGCTATGGCATAGGATTCTGGGCAGGTGATGTGGTAAAAGCAGAATTCAGTTCAATGGTACTTCAGACGAGAGCTTTGACGTACTTACATTTGTATGTATATATAACTTTTTACAATAATAATAACCAATTATATTTAATACATTTTAACTTTACCCCAATAACGTCTAAGAAGTAATAAATATACATTATTTGGGTAAAATATCTCAGTTCTTTTTTTTACTTTTACACAACTCCGCCGTATCTGAGGAAGACCCCTTCCCGACGGACAAACGCTTTAAGTCAATCGGATTTATAAATCTAAGGGACTTCAAATAAATGGGATAAAATTACCTCCCAACGATCTTTCCTTCAGGCAAGACCTCTGGTCGGTTTTCGTGGGAACAATATTTTCATTTTAAAACCTAAAACAAAAGGTCTTCCCTTGCTGGTTTTCCCTTGCAAAGCTTACATTTTCGCGATTTTCTTTTCTATATATTTATATAATCCAAAATGTTCTAACTAAGAAGAGGAAAACAGCCTGGTACCCTAAACCTAAACCTATGTTTAATTATGCTATAAATAAATAACTGTAATAATACTCTTACAATAACAACAATTCACGAGATTTCGTGGTCCGATTGACCAAATAATATCTTTCAATTAATTAATCTTTAAAAATGGCAAAAAAAGATGGAAAATTCGTAGGGTTGGGTTGGGATGGGAGGTTATTTCCGAGTGGATCGAAGTCACGACAGCTCAAGTGGTAGAGCAACGACGTATTTAGGTCGGTAGTCGTTTGGCCTACTTTTATAGGTTGTGGAGAGCGATTTTGTGCTGAGTCCATATTACACTTTTTCTATATATGTTGTAACATATACGTATACATACAAAGGGGACCCAGGAGTTGTAAGATAGAAGCAAGGGAATACCACTCTCCTCTCAACAACGATGAATATNACAGGCATATAAATTAAATTTTATAATTATTAAATTACATACGAAAACAGCTGATCATCTAAATTTAAACAGCTCAATATAATTAGATGATTGTTATATCTTTACAAAACATACTGCATGTGCACCCACCGAAACCCTTTGCTACGAGAAATTTCTGCTCATCCACCACCACCCGGAAACAACCGTCGTCAGAAAAGGAAAAGGCTTGGTGACTAGTGACTATTGCGTAAAAAAACTGTAAATAATATAAATGCACTCCTTTTCCTTTAGTCTCCATTATTTGTTAAACAGTAAACATTCTTTTCTACATTATACTTATTATTTGTAAATGTGTATGTACATGCTCCTATGTTAAGAAAGGTGAGTCTGTCACCGGACATAATCCCTTCTCACATATTATTGTAAATACAACAAAACTAGAATGTAATTTTGTTACAGTAAAGAGCATACTATATTATAAAAAAAATTAAAAATACATACTGCCTGCGAACGCTGAGAAATGTTTAAAACGCATACCTTATGTAATACAGAACCAGGAACAGGTAAAAATCACCCTACGCAAGAATCACACTACATTCTTGTCTGTATTCAATGGAAAAAATTTACAACGAAACTAGTTTAATAAAAAAAAGATTTTAAAAGAAAATGCCCAAACTTGCTTCTTGAACTAGAATGCCATTTATGAATTATGTATATAAATAATTAATTTATAATTGTTAAGTATTATTTCTTTCAATTACTTAACCTTTTTTAGGTAATAAAAAAGTTAGAGTCAGGAGCGGGATTCGAACCCACGAAAGTACCCATCGAAGTCTCGACAGCTCAAGTGGTAGAGCACTGGCGTATTGAGCCGAAGGTCGAGGGTTCATAAAAAGATTAAGAAATTGGAAGAAGTACTTTGGTCATATGACAAACAATTGTACGATATTAATTGTATCTTCTATGCGATCGACCAGCCTTTACTCTATAATAGTCTCGTGGATTGATTGTGGTATTATATATCATATATAATATGACCACAACCCTTAACAGAGAGGCTTGTGTATTGTAGTGGCATATTGGCAGGATGTCTGTTGGACTAGGTTCTGGGTTAATTACTCCTTTAGGCAATACTCCACCTACGTAAGAGTCGTGTTTAGAGCACATATCCTTCAGGACAATTCCTGGAAGGAGGGAGGCAGACGAACGGGATACACCGATCAATCCCGTTGACTTAACGAGAAAGACCAGACCACGATCTTCCGCCTCCAAATGTCAAATTCGTCCTTTCCTCGGAACCCTTCCCCACCAGGACGACTATTCCCCCGTACGACCAAGAGAGCGCGAAAGTGGGGGAAGAAATCGCTTCAAGCTTAATTCAGTTTGTGCCAGTACTTCCCCGACCTCTTAGCTATGACAAGTAACAAGTCGATCGATTCTGCACCTCTACACAAACCGACAGTGAGTGTTTTTGACTATTGTTTTCACAATTTAATTTTAACGCAATTTTTTTATTATTTTAATTTAGAAAATATAAGATAAATTGGACATTTTTGCATATGCAAAAAGCAAATTGTATTGACTTTTAGTGAAGATTTTGAAGAATTGCACGTGATTTTTATCGAGTGGTGTATCTATTTTTTCCTGAACTTTTTTTATTCGCGGCTTACTGCAGAAGCGCATGCTCGGAACAGGCGTCCTGGGGAACCGGGTACTTTTCCATGACGTCACGGGTCCCCCCAGACGTTTGCAAACGGACAATGTTTCGGTGCTTTACCCTGGGAGAAATGAAAAGGAAGGTGGTATCACCCACGAGGACCTGTTATTCACCAACCCGGTGGTATACGGCCCCTTGCCGAAATTGTTGAAATTGTTAAACCGGTATTTTTTCTCCCGAGTATTTTTAGTCCGTGATATGTTTACAAAACAGTTTTGCAAGACTTCCAAAGAGCTGGACACTTTCCGATTCTCCGAAGTGTCGAAATTGAAATCAGATTTCCGCTTTATCTGCACTTTGATAATTGCCCAATTTTTATCGGCATATATTGTCGGGTGCTTGTTTCGGTAGCGACTCCAAGAGCGCTGAGGAGTAGGAAAAACTCCTATTTATTATGACTGGTGTGAAAGCGACAAAGAACGATGATTAACACTGAAAATTCTATAACACTTACTCATTATTCAAAGGACTGTTTATCATAGACCTCTTTTATAAATAAATCAAACTGGAAGTCCGGCGAATTCTATAGTATTATCGGCGTTGGTTTTGTTCGTAACTTATATTGATTGGAAACATGCAAAACAATATTTATAAAAAACCACATAAATGTTTTGTCAAAATTTTGAAGAATTCCTACAAGCCATTTTTTCAAAACTTAGTTTCTTAGTACATACCTACTCAACCCAATACTACTTCTTTGTTTTTCATTGTTAATGCACGAACAATCAATATATTAACACTGTAAGTAAGTTAATATAGGTATTTGCTGTTTCAAGGCCAGTTTTAAGATTTAAGATGACAATAAGTTTAAAAAATACGACAAAGGTAAACTTTCTTTCTTAGATAAGCGCTTTCGTATCTCACTCCTTGGATTTGTTTTATTGCATACGATTTGGCAGATATGATAAAAAGTCTTTTAAGTATGAAAAGAAACGCACTTTCCGGAGGTAAAAGTAGAAATAAAATTATTTATACGAGGACCGATTTCTTAAAAAGTCCGCCACGTGGTGAGAGAAGAACCCAGTGTCACATGTGGGAAAAGAACGTTTCACCATTGGCAACCAGTGGCTCGGTCCTAAAATCTAAGTGCACGTGGTTGAGTTATCGATTGATGATGGTGTGTTGTGTCAGGTTGGGGTGCAACCCTCCTCAATGGAAAATCCCCAAAAACCACCACCCACACTCGTTCTCCTCTCGTTCGCATCCCTGATACACCTTTTCTGACCTATCGTTAAGGTCTCCTTCAATTTTCTTCGGAACTAATTGTATCGACCGTTTTTTAGTTTCAACACTTATAAACAATATGAATGCCATTTTGTTGATATAAATATTTGTTTAATAAATTTAATGTAGTTTGGTTTAATGACGTCTTGTTATGTTAAACCGCCCGATGGACTAACGCTTGCATAGTCACATATCACAGCAATTGACTATGGGGAATCACATGAGATTATACTGTAATAAACCCAACACTGTATTACATATGTATATAAGCATATTAAACTAGTTTAGGATTTTAAAAAATATATTTTTCTACAAGTTTGTTGTTAAAGTAGTCAATCGTGGCTTGGCAAACTTGATTTATAACAAAGCATTCTCTTTATCTCTGTCTACATCTATTTATCTATCTATCTACTTATTTATCTTTCTATTTCTCTCTTCATCTATAACTTATTCACTTTTTCTCACTCTCACACTCATTCTCTTTCTCCTTTTTAACTACCTCACTCCGGCCATCACTCCTCACACATTTCTTTTTCCTTTTATTAAAATTTATTTAATCTTGTGGTTTTCGTTCATTAAAACACCACACTCAGCTTTCGTTAATAATTATACAATTAAAAAAAGATAATTTGTACTACCACGAAATCATGGAATCCAAACGATCAATCCGCCAGATGTTAATGTTAATAACGAACAAGTTAATCCAAAACGAAATATTTATGTAAGCCAATTTTGGACTGGGCAGGGCACAAAAAAAAGAAACACAAATTTCTCATTAGGCGTTCAGCCGAAAATGGAAACTTGAACATGTTCGTGAAATGCAAAAGAACTTACGTAAAAGCCGGTCGCTATTCGATTCTTCTCCACGAGCGTTTAGTCTTTTCTTCGTCTTCAGAGATCGACTTGTGCAGGAAGCCCACCACTCGCAGACCACACGAAATAGCACAAGTTTGGATCTTTTCCAAGTTTTTTTTTTTTTCAGTTTTTCATCAAGTTTTCTGAAATAAACACACTGTTTCCTTAAAGTCAGACTGTTCTTTTCGAAACGTATTGTTCGTGTCGACGTTAAATTCCAACCAAATTAAGATCGTGAGATTGCTATAACGTCAATAAGACTCAAATACGTTTTTGGTTGATCGGTATCCGCGGGTGGTGTACGCAAAAAATCCTTTGACGTCAAATTTGCTCTTAAGCTGAACCAGACTTTCCTGGAATTTTTTACATCATTGGGGAATTATCCGACCTGTACTAAAACCAGATAATCTTTTCGTTCTAAAAACCGAAAGTGTTATAAAACAGGTATAAAACTAGTTCTCGGAGATAGGCGTGATAATGGAGTATTGTGACTAGAGATATAGATTGTAAGGATAACGGTAACCTTCTTGGTGTCCCCTCTTCGCCAAGTGTCTTGCCTCGGTTTTCGAAAAAAAGTGGACTTAGTGCAGTCGAAGGTCAAGGAGAGCGCCATCCTTTTCCGGTTCGTTTTCTCTCTTTGCTTCCTTCCGATTCCTCGTGACCCATTTCACGGCTGCAGGCGTCATTGACCGAGCCTTCATGAGAATTGAAATGCACGAGGTGGGGAAAGGTTGTGGAAATTTCCTCCGAGGCCCCTCCACAATGGTCTTATTGTGCCGTGCTGGATGTCGACTCAGCACCTCCGGCGTATGTAAACATTCCTGGCTCACCTAGATGCAGAAATGAGCTGGGCGAAAAGATAAAATTTCCAAAAGCAAATCGCCAAACTTATAACAAAATGACGATTTCTATGACTTCTAGAGGAGAACAAACCAACAATAAACTCCGATGTTGATCCTGCACAGTTGTTCCTGGCTTCTAAAATGGGGCTACAACTCTTTTGTTTACGACATTCATAATTAACTTAATCCATATTTGTCTAATGGTCATAATTCACCTTATTATTTCAATTAACTTTTTATCTAAAGCTTTTGGTTGATATGGAAATAAGGAAAAAAAAGGGAAAATTCGAACGGTTGTAGGTTGAGATGGGAAGTTGGCGCCCGAGGGAATCGAAGTCCGATAGCTCAAGTGGTTAGAGCAGCGGCGTATTGAGTCTTGTGTTCGAATCACGCTCGTGAAAACTAATTTGCTCTTAATATCATATATTAAGAATAAAACGTGGCCGCGATTTAAAATATTAAATATAATATTAATTATAATATTATAATGTTAATTATAATATTATAATATTAATTATAATATGAATTATAATATTATAATATTA